AGTTCATTAGAAAATTAGTTAAAAATGGTTGTGACAGCGGGGAGATGATCAGACTGAGTGTTAGCTGTGCAAACATTAGGATTGGACTTCTGGATCCCAGAACCCATGTCAAAGCTGAGCAGGTATAGTGGGCACTGGTAATCCCAGCATTTGGGAGGCAGAGGCAGGATCCTGAGGCAAGCTGGCTAACTGGACCAGCAGATGTGCAAGCTCCAGATGCAGCAGGTGACCCCACCCCAGTAAATAAAACGGAGAGCTATGGAACAAGATGCTTGATGTTAACTTTGGGTCTCCACACACACTTGCATGTAAACATGCAAGTTTACACCTACACACATGTAAACATGCATAAACATATGTATGTGGGCCACACATACACATGCAAAAATGATTGTAAAATACTCATCCAAGAAGACTTGCTATTCATAATGGAAGGTGATGAGAATTTAATAAAAAGCAAACCCAACATTTTAATAATAGTTTTTTGTACAGTTTTCACCCCCCCCATCTGCCATTTTTAAAACTTGGACATGCTTGCCTTGACAGATATGAAGATGACTGCCACGTGTTTACTCCTTCCACATGTTTTTGGGGATGAGCCCAGCCTTTTTGTCGTTCAGAATGAGAAGGTATGGAGTATGTTTATGGCCATTCATTTTATACCTTCATATGACTCACTTACAAGGTGAGTGGCCTATTTTAGTAGTTTTATTGTATGATTAAGCTGCACTGTAACTAGCTCACTTAGTGTAATATTGTTCGACATTCAGGTATGCTTTATCATTTAGCTGTTTCACATATCAGCAATAGAGATGTATTTCCTCTTTCAGGTACATGTGTCCACACCTGTGTTGGAAGTTAAAAACCCTTTCCACATCAACGGCTGTGAGTTTTCTTTGTATTTGAACAAAGAGAAGCTTACGAAGGTGGATGACTGTGTCACCGCTCTGGCTGCTTTGGTGGCTGCTTTCCATGTGTTTGGGATCGAGTGTCCAAGAAGACTGTCCCAAACCTTCAACTTCCTAGAGACGTTGATCTTTGATGTGCAGTCCCCGGTTTCCCTCTTTGAAAGAGAAGGAAATCAGTTCTCAACCTCTGATCACTAGAGCATCTGAATGAACCCTCCAGGGTGTTGGAAGCTTCATAAATAGTTGCAGATTCATCTTAGAATATCTATTGCCTTAGAGGTAGGGGTTAGAAAAATCATGTTGTCTGCAGCATCAATGGATTTTTGAAGTCTCTCTATAACTTAGATATTTAGGGTTTTTTGTGAAGTTCAGTAATAAAATATTAATTAAAGGCTCTGATTTTGATCTGAGTTCTGTAGTCAAGGTTTCAAGTTGAACAGTGTCAGTTTTGGCTGCCATGAAAGACATCATAAGGTAAAATTCTCCCAGTTAGGGTGTGACCCTGAACTTAACTCAGTGTGATGGCTTGAAAGCCCATGAGTTGGACAGCTGCCTCTTTAGTCTCTTTGGTTAGAACATTGGTTGGAAATATCTTGAACTTGACTACTTTAAAGAGATATAGTCCTCAATTTCCTTACCCCAGACAGCTTGCCTAGTCTGATGTGGTTTGGTTTCCTTCAATCAATATTGAATAAGAGAGCAGCTGTGATCTTGGGATATCCTCCTTGGTAAGCCATCTTGTAGGCACAGGGTCCACACACGTTTGTTTCAGGGTTCCTTCCACATAGACTGAGCCCATGCTCAATGGTCACATTGAAAATTTGTTCATTCATGAATGGTGAGACAGTACTTCTTGGGTAACAGGACCCAGCCACTCTGTTTTCTGAGGGCTTCCATGAGAAAAAAACTGTAAAATAATTTAGGCATACCTTGATATTATCATCAAAATATCTTGTTATTACATAATTCTGAAAGATGGGGATGGAGTCGGGATAGGGGGGAGTCGTTCTGGGTATTGTAGAGATTTCAATGTGTTAATACTTGTGACACAGTCAGATAAGCCTGGGTTATTTCATCAAATGGGCTTTTTAAAATGCTTAAATTTTTATTTTTTTTCTTTTTACTAAAATAAAGTAACCCCCTACACATTTTGTATTACTCAAATTACCCCCTCCAATCCCTTGTTGAAAAACTCCATAATCTGCCTTAAATTTGGATTTACCAGTTCCTGAAGTACTTTCTTATAGGGTCTACAGTCTCTGTGGGAAACTGAGTGTCCCCATTGTCATTCAGCTGTGCAGCATGACAAGGTAGGGTTGTGGAACTAGCTGAGCTCTCAACCCACAAAGAACAAATGGTAGAGTCATGACTACCTGGAGGTACATCCCTCGGAGCAAGGGTTTGGTATTACCACTTGGGAAACACTCTGCTTTGCTTGACATGCATAGACTGTCATTTTTGGGATGAGACCACTGAATGTAGAGGATGCCGTCAATGGTAAATGGGAGCCTTCAGATAGGCTTCATTTGCCTTGCACGGAATAGCATGCAGTCACTGGTCAGTCCCTGTGCATTCCACACACATCCCTCCCCTTTGTCTCCTCTTAAGCCTGCTTCTATTACTCCAGGAGTCACTTATCATCAGCCCTTCCTGTTTGCTCCTTTAACACCGAGACCACATCCCGCTGATGGGACAGTGAAGATCACCTGCTTGAGGTACAATCCCACGCCACCCCGAATGGCCAATGCTTCCCTTTTCTTCCAGAAGAGCATACTGCTTAGAAGTGAAATCTTAGACTTAAAACTCTCCTTCATTACAGCATTCACTTTAAACTAGAAAGAAAACCATTCTCAATGAAGACGAGAGAACTACATGAGCTAAAAATGTGATTTCCGAGGGTTCTTTTTATAAAATGCTTATCCTTAAATGTATCAACTAAGTACACTACAAAAACATTCAAACTTAGAGACATTAGATTGCTATATTGCCCCCTGCCACACACACCTTTTCTTTGTGTTTTGTGTACTTGTTCACCTGTGTATATATATGTGCATACAGGTCCATTTCTGGTATCACTGTGTCTTCCTGTATGACTACTCTCTCCACCAACTCCCTTACAAAAAAACTAACAAACCACCAAGTATGAGTGTGTGCCTGCATGGATGTCTGTGCACTATGCATGTGCCTAATGTATGCGGAGGCCAGAAGAGGGGATTGGATCCCCTTGAACTGGAGCTACTGGTGGCTGTGAGCTGCCATATAGGTGCTGAAAACTGAGCAAGTACTTCTAACCAGTGAGCTATTTCTCTAGCCTCACTACCTATTTTGAGGCATAACTTCTCACTAAACTTGAAGCCCATAAACCTCACTGGGGTAAGAGGTACACCTGGTTCTTCCATGGGTGCTAGAGATATATACTCAGGGCCTCATGCTATTGTGACAGGCAGTTTAACAACTGAGGCATCCCAGTCCCACAGTATCTGTAATGTTGTTGTTCATTTGTTGTAGTTCTAATACTAAAATACAACCAAGCCTTATAAAACTTTTGTTAGATATGATATTGTTCCTGTTTTTAATCTCTTGTATTTAATAACCTCCTTAAAAATCATACGTATATAAAAAGAATCTGCAATTAAGACTTTTATTTCATTCATATCACATGTAACAAGTGCAAGTTAATGTACAAATACTGACCACAACAAAGGGGAGTGGGGAGAGTAACAAAAAGCTTATTTAGCAGATTCATGCAGAGAAATGAAGAGGACATTGCAGATGTCACGGACCCTGTTTACCTTGAATCATGACAAATGCAAAGGACTCCTACTATGGCACATCAAAGGAAGTCCTACATCAGAAAACATTAAAGAGTTCGAGAAAGAGAACGAGGTGGGACTCTCCCCAGAGTTCCGACCGCATGCTACTAATCCTTCTATTTTTAAATCAGTCCTTGAGTAAACATCTAATTGTGGAATTAGAAAGTACGTCCAAAGACTGACAAAATATTTTACCTTCCCCTCAGAAGTACACGCTTACAAAAGAAACACTGCCAGCTATGAGTTTATAAATAACCACGGGCTCTCATTTAAAGTGCATCCAGATGCTTAGAAATCAAGGCAAAAGATTTTATAGTGAAAGGAATCTTTCTTCATTGGAGGTTCCTGAATAACGGCTTTGGGAACCACTTTCTCAACCTGTGGGAGAGCGTGGAAAATTCTATGTCTGCGGGTGTGACAGTCACACCAGGTCTGTGCAGTCAGATCCTTGCTCTGCTCCTCAGCTCTGAGGAAATCTTCTGGGTCTGTAGGACCCGTGGGATGTATGGGAGCTCTTGAAGTGTTAGTGTTTCCAGACAAGTGAGTCCTCTTCAGTAAAGCACCAGCTAAGTCCATGTCATTTACAGAGATGCACACAATAACTTCACAAATTAAATTCCTCATCAACATCCCTTGGGATACGTACGTAACTGCACAATCCTCTGATGCCAACTGCTGGAAACACATGGGCACCACGATGTACAAAATTGATTCTGTCCAGATACTGTCCTTCAAATCTAAGTAGGTTTATATAGTTTATTCTTCAATTCCATTCTTTTATATACATTTTTTTTTTTGGTAATAATAACAGTAAAGATGCTGGTGAAAAGTCCTTTGTTTAACAATTCATGATGCATGCAAAAGGAAAAACATGGATTTGGAGAAAGGTCGTATTTACAATTCTTCAGTCCCAACAGGATGATACACAGTTAGGCAATATTGTGACTCACAACGTTACACTTGGCTAATGCCGTGATTCCAAATATGGCACAGGGTGAACATGACTGACAGTAGTCCCAGGCTAAACCCAGCCAGGTTCAAAGGATTTGGTTTAGGTTGAAATTCAGTTATATAAAAAGGTTTCTGCAAGTATTGAAAAAAAGAAGGCGTACATGAAAGAGACTCTGACAATGTTTACAAAATGCCAAAAGTTCTGATTTTGCCCCCCATCCATAAATAATGAAGCCTCCCTTCCCCACCCTCCTCCCACATCCAAAAAATTTACAAAGGTAAGTTTAGCTCATTGAGCAGAACCAAAAGGTGACTGTTGTTGGACAGTTGCTGGTAAGAAGCTCAGGCATTTCCTAAGAATGCGTATGCAGCTGGAGGGACAGATGGAGCCCTGGGGTGCTGCTCCTGTGAGTTCTGAAGACTTCTCACTCGGGAGCTGGAGCTGTCCTTGTGCTTTGAAAGAACATAATGAGCTATAAAGCAGAAGCTGATGGTACCAGAATTCACCGTCTTCACAGTTCATTGTGGGAATTCTTCTCCGCAGCTTTGAACATTAGAATAGAATTGAAAATTTTGAGAGCCGGGCCCAGCTTAATGCTCATAATTTTAACAATGTCTGTTTGAGTCATGAGTAAAAATGCTTCTCCATCAATTTGCTGAAATAAAGGGGGGAAAAAACAGAGGAATGTGGATTAACCAGATGGAGTATTGTGGGAATATTCAAAGCTTTATGCTGTATTATCAGATGAATTCTAGACAGCAATACTAACATGGCATACACAGCAGCTCATGAACACATCATTCCTGATCTATGGGTCTTATCTAAAGTCACACATCCAGCATAGTAAAACTCAACTGTCTCAAATCGCAGTCCACAGAAGGGAACGTGGCCATACTTTCTTATAACTTAAAATTGTGTGTGTGTGTGTGCACGTGCGTGTGGCCAATGTTCAATTTTGCATGTCTGCCTCTATAGCTCTCTACCTTATTCTTTGAGACAGTGTCTCTTAGTGAACCTGGAGCTTGCCATTCCAGCTCAGACCTCTAGACAGAGAATCCCCGGGATCCCCCAGCCTGTTGCTTGGTGCTGGTTTTACAGTCACACACTACCACACCTGGTTTTCTATGGAAGTGGTGGGGCCCCAAAGGTCTTAATGTTCATGTTGCAAATACTTCATGTACCAAGTCATTTTCCCATCCCCACAAACCTTGTGTTCTCCTCAATTAGATACTGAGTCAAATATATAGTTAGCTTTTCTGTTTGCTTGTTTATTTAAGTTACAGAAGGTAACAATGCTTTTGGAGGCAAATAATTTGGGCAAAGTACCAGGTACACAAATGTAGCCTTTCACCATGAAGGAAAACAATGAGAAAGACAGGCATGGCCATAATTAGCCTCCACAGACAGAAGAGCAACAACCAAGAGTGTGGTTGGAGGAACGTGAGGCCAGTGTTAAACTCTAATGGTTATTGGGCAAATGCTTTTCATCCTGGGCCCGCTAAGATGAAAAGTTTCATTACAGAATAGGACACTTTGAAGCTCAAAGCCACAACGTGATGAAAATGAAATTTGGTTTAGTGGGGTGACAAACAAAACAGGTATTGTTTTTAAAATGACTTTCTGCCTTTAGGGAATTGCAAGGTCTTACAACACATTAATTTCTCCTTCAATTTCCCTATTTTGCACTAAGAAATACATGCTTTGTTTTCTGCCTCAGAGTAACTAGAAGCTTTAACCATCATGAGTGGTTAAAGGTAGCTAAACTGTGTCTGCTTCAAATTCTTTTTGCTGTTTTGGCTTTGTTTTGTTTGTTTTTGTGACAAGGTTTCTCTATAATATTGGCTGTCCTGGGACTCGTTATGTAGACTAGCTTAGTCTTAAATTCACAGAGATCCACTTGCTTCTGCCTCTGGAGTGCTGGGATTAAAAGTATGTACTACCATGCTAGGCTGAAAATTCTTACAAGATTTTTATTTTTATTTCATTTTATGTGTATTGGTGTTTTGCCTGATAATGTATGTCTGTGAACCACAGGTGTGCAGAGGCGTTGAGGACAACAGAGGGTGTCTGAGCCCCTGGGACTGGCATTATAGACAGTTGTGCACCTTCCTGTGGGTGCTGGGAATCTACCCTGGGTCCTCTGGGTGAGCAGTGCTATTCACCACTAAGGAATCTTTCCAGCCTCTCTTTTGCAAATTCTTATCTTGAATTCCTAAACCAAACTTGCTCAGAATTGGAGCTTATTTGGAAATAGCGTCATTGCAATTATAAGTAGTAACTGGCTACGTTAAGGTCACATAGGTGAGCTGAGCTCTGGTGCCAGGAGGTAAATCTGAACACAGAGACAGACACATAGGAAAAAAGAAAGAGAACTATCTATACATTGTAGAAGAGGCTAGACTAGAACTTAGAAGGCTGGTTTCTAGTCTTGCTTCTAGAATTGTGAGACAATACATTTCTACTATTTACGACACTGGGCTATGCTTTGCCATGGCAGCCTCAGTAAGCTACTACAATCCTGAATTCCCAAGAACTAATTAATTAACTAATTACTAGCTTATATAAGTTAAGTAGCTGGGCTTTCTTGTTGTTGATGGATTTTTTTTTTTTACCTTCCTCATTCCACTAAATATAGAAGAAAGAAAAGGGTTGTTGAAGTGGCTCACTGGAAAAGCTTGGCAACATGAGTTTTCTTTTCTGGGACTCACATGGAAAATAGAACTGACTGTTTCATGTGGTTCTCTGACATTTACCTACGTTCTTTTTTTTTTTTTAAGATTTATTTATTCATTTAATGTATGAGTACACAGTAACTGTTTTCAGACACACCAATAAAGGGCATCAGATCCCATTATAGATGGTTGTGAGCCACCATGTGGTTGCTGAGAATTGAACTCAGGACCTCTGGAAGAGCAGTCAGTGCTTTTAACCTCCGAGCCATCTCTCCAACCCCAGCTACATTCTTTTATCGAGAAAACAAATTACAACAAACACTGGAGATGATATGAAGCAAGAGGAACCGGTACCCACGGCTGGCAACAGTGAAGACTGGTGTTACCATACTGAAAACCACTGTGGAAGTTTCTCATGACAGAGCTAAAAATATAATCACCAGAAGACCCAGCTACATAAAAGGAAGGACTCTACATCCTATCAGAGATACTTGCAAATCTATGTTCATTGCTGCTAATGTCTAAATGTCCATTAACAGTGTAATGGGAAATTAAAATGCTGGACATATATACAATGAACTCTTATTTGGCCACAGCGAAAGATAAAATTATAAAATTTTAAGGAAAACTGATTGGCCCTGGAAATTACCCTATTAAGTCAGAAAACTGAATACTGCATGTTCTCACATACACAATCCTAACTTATGATTTGAAGAAGTATCAAGGAAGGAGAACGGGAAGGATCATAGACTCTCTGTGACATGGAGGCCAAACAGGGTCAGAATGGGACAGCCGGGGTGGGGATGAGCAGAGGAATGGGGGAAACCCTGTGTAGGGAGGCATCAGCCAATATTATCCATGAAAAGGCCAAAAGGAAATCTGTTACTTTGTACACTAATTTGAAATAAGTAGATACTTGTTAAACAGATAATCTGGGAGGTAGACAGTGATAAATTCCTGCTCTTACACATATTACTGAGATACAGGTAAGAGCTAAGATACTCCTGGCTATAGCACTACTCTTTATTCCGAGCATTTGAGGGAGTTAAGTGTTGATATTGTTAAGATGATAGATAATATCTGAAATGGAAGAAATGAGAAAAATTCACTTTATCGAAACACTGTTACTTTCTTCCTTTGATTTATTTCAGTGATACAAACTATTTAAGAACATGCTGTTAAGTTCTGTGGGGAGTTTTATAATGAGTCTAGGGCTACTGTGTGTGATCCTGAAATGTTTCCCCTTTCCTTTGAAGCTGCTGTAGACAGTTTAATTCAAGTGGTTAATGCTGTTGTACTGCAGCTACACACTAAGTGTCTATGTTGAGGGAACTCATCTTCTCCTGACTGTTAATTTAGCACATTTCCCCACTGATGGATCTCCCTGCTTTGATCCCATCAAGAAGCATATTACAATATAGAGGGAGACTTACTTCATCCTTAAACACCTTTCCGTGTTCTTCACACCCAGGTAAGCTCTGAATGAATTCTGACACCTGTCAAAAATAACATCAAAATTCCAAGTTTTTTTAAAAAAGGAAGTTGGGATCCAAGTATTTTTGAACACAAATATCTTCAAAATAAAATCTCTCTTATAGGGGAAATAAAATCCTGAAAGATTAAACACTACCCACAGTCGAAGCCTTTATCACACTCATAATGCCAGTATCTTTGCAGATGGTCCTGCAGACAAAATATGGTAACAAAATTAAATAGCAAAAGCAAACATACCTCGTCTGTGCTCCACTTGGAAACTCTACTGGCTGGAATTCCAGCGACAGTTGGAAGAAGCTTGCTCTGCTGCTCCCAGCGCAAGGGCAGACATGGAATTGGGGGCTTAAAGGAGAGAAATACAGCTGACCGCCGCTGAGCCTGCTGCTGGGTCTGCTGAGCCTGATGAACCTGCTGAGGCTGCTGGGCCTGTGAGGCCTGCTGGGCCTGCTGAGGCTGCTGGGCCTGTGGGGTCTGCTGGGCTTGCTGGGCCTGCTGGGCTTGCTGAGCCTGCTGGGCTTGCTGTGCCTGCTGAGCCTGTGGAGTCTGCTGGGCCTGCTGGGTCTGCTGAGTCTGCTGAGCTGGTGGAGCCTGTGGAGGCTGTGGAGGCTGTGGAGCCTGTGTTGCCTGTGAAGCCTGTGGAGCCTTCGCTGCCTGCTGAGGTGGCTGAGCATGCTGCACTTGCTGCACTTGCTGAGGTGGCTGAGTCTGCTGTACACTAGGGGTAGGCTCTTCCCGAACAACTGGTAAACAGGGGAAAAAAAAGAAAAAAAGAAAATCTGTGTCTGAAAGGCAGTTGAACAGCCCCAAGTGTCATGCATTCCACAACTGTTTAATTTTTTTAACAGTTAACAGAGAAAATAGATAACCCACAGCCTGACAGAAAATATGTACATTATACAAAGAACAACAACAACAAATAATAAAAACAGCAAACAGAAAACAAACCCCAGGCAACAGGAAAACAAAAATCCAGCTAATAGATGTACAAAGGAAATGAGCAGACAATTCACAAAGAAAGAAATAAAACAGCCAATGAACATGAAAAATGCTCAACCTCACAAGGCATCAGAAAGATGCAGATCGAAAATGAATTCAGATTTCATCTCACTCTACAAAGACTGCCAGTCATTAAGGAAAACAAAACAAAACAAAATAAAACAAAATTCAGGTACAATGTGGACAAAAAGAAGCTCTTAGACCCTGTGGTCAGAATCAGGCTAATCCTATGGATTCAGTATGGAGCTTTCTTAAAGATGTCCCCACACTGGGTATGACCCACAGGACACCAGGTGGACGAATTAGAGACACTTGCACTTTGGTGTTTACTGCAACACAATTCCCAAGAGCTAACTTAAGGTACCTACTTAGGTGTCCTGCAACAAAGGAGGGGTTAAAAAAATGTGGTGTGTATGCATGATGGAAATTTAAAGGAAAATGACATTTGTTATTTACAAGAGGAAGGATGCCCCAGTCACAAATGCTAAACTACTTTTTCCAGGCTTTACTGAATCAAGATTTTGGGTTATCTTACTTTTGCTGTATCTCTATTATAAATCAAACTTAGACCACCACATTTATTTTTCTTCTTTTTAAATTACTTAAGGCAAAAACCAAACATAGGCCACCACATTAATTTTTATTCCTTTTAAATTATTTTGCTTAGCAATTAAGGGGTGGGGCTGGATGCAGCTCTGTAGCAGAGTGTTTGCTCAGAAAGTGCAAGAACCCAGGTTTGACCTCCAATACTTAAGAAAAAAGTGGGAGAGGGAAGGTAGATAACCTAAAAACTTAATCCCAGATATCCCCAAGAGTTTAGAAAGCACCTGAAATAAATATACACACAAGGGTAGCTTACACAAATGGCAAGGCTTTGCTCTACATTAGAGCAACAGGATACAGATTGCTCTATAATTTGTCTTCTGATTGCTTGCCATATGTAAGTCTTATACAAATGTGTGTCCTATTCCACCTTACACTTGTTTCGATCTGCTAACACTGGAATCTCACTCTGTCAGTACAGTTCCATCTATTTCCAAATGGGGAGTAATATGCCTTATAGTTCATTTCTAGGGCTCTGCATTCTTCATAGGAAAACCAACAGACATTCTGTCAGGTAACAAACACAAAGCTCCACCATTCATGGTAGCTTCTGGAGTCTTTGAAGATGATACTGTACACAGATACCACTCTGATTCTGCTAGCACAGTGCTACTTGAACACTTGTTCAAGGGATTTCTTTTCATTCTGTGCTTTTACATCAACACAATATTCTGTTTAGATTTCAAAACACACTTGAAGCAAGTGTAGCCAGCAGTAGTAGACAAGCTGTGCGGCAAGAACCAAAGAGAACCTCTTTGCAGACCTTACAGCTAATGTTAGACCAGTGTGTGATGGAAACCGTGAACACAGGCTACAGCTAAATCTGTGTCATTGCAAGTTCCTCAGTGTCTGGATCCTGAGCACGACCCTTCCCTTGTTTTCCATGAGGGGAAAAACAAACCAAGTTTATCTCCAGTAAAATGTGATTGTTGTTTTCCAGTCGTTTCTATTTACTTTTACTTTTTCTGTGGTGTGGGAGAGTCAGACCCATTGTCCTATGGATTCGAGCTACTTCTCTGCCATGAAACTATGCCACTGGGCTACAGTGCAATTTATGGTTCTTGAATATTTATGGCAATAACCAACAACATGGTAATGTAATGGCTACCTTTGGCTTCGGCTGATTTCTTTACTTCATTTTCTTTTTTCTTTTCAGAATCTTCTTTGCCGTTTTTGGCATGCTGTTCCCTGAGAAAAATAGCTATGTCAGTATTTCATGACAGAAGAATTTTAAAGCATTTCAGAACAGCAACTGTTTTTCTTAATGTAAAGACTAATGAATGGTACCACTAAATAATGAAGAATTAAATTCCACCATAAAGCAACTGACACCAACAGCAGACAAGGAACCCACTTCCTTCATAGTCACTTAGGAAGGTTGTTAATGGTGAGAAATCTATGAAAATGAACTACTGGGGGAAGACATGGTGACTAAATATTTCAACCACAGCATGAAATACATCTTCAGGAGGAATAACACTTGTACTCTTTGGTAAGATTCAGAAAACCAAAAAAATGTCTCGAGTCTGTATCGTGTATCAATTAAATCACTCTACATTCCCCAGCCTTGAGATCTGGGGTTGAAGCTGAGACTGGCACACTGGCATGTATGTATCCCAATGCTGGGAAGCTCTTCATGGTCAGGTCAATTCCACAGAAGTGAATTCACCTTTTTCTGAGCAGGAGTGAATGAACTCTTAAATCAACAGGCCTTGAATACTCTAAGATAGAAAAAACTTATTAAAAAGTTTAATTTGAAACTTTAACCCTGAAGTTAAGGACAAAATTTGGTTCATTTTTAAGAAGCTAGGTATGCAGTACATACACTTATAAAAAATAAAAACTTGGGGGATTTAAAATTGTTCAGCCTAATGTATTCCATTCTGAAGGTCACAATACAGCACAGTCTACAGCGTAGTCTTGAGGTATCTGGCTGCACAATGTAGAACCTTACTTCTAAGGGTCAACAACAAGGCAAATACAATTAAACAGATTAGTCTAACACAAAAGGATAGCTTTATTGCAAAGGCACATCTTCTGCATTTGAAACTCTGATGTAGTAACACACAAAACTATCAGAGGAAGCACTCGATAAATGTTCACTGCATTTTACAAAGATTATTTTTCTAGAGTACACATGAAATCTCATTTGAACCTGAGCTCCTGGCTTAGTTTCTACTAAAACATCTTGTAACAGCTGAACACTCGAACCTATTGAAAATGAGGAGGAATCAGTTTTTATGCAATGCAAATATTTTCCCAAGACATTCCGAGAACTCCAAATGAAAACTTTGAGGAATCCACATTCCTTCAGAACATCTTGAACCTGTTTAATCTAGTACTGTGCCAATTCACCAGCTAGAGGTTCTTACTGCACAGGAGAGAACTGACAGCTGACAAAGGTCCTGAGGTATTGACAGAAAAACCTTCTTTTCTCCATAGAAACAGGAGAGCAGGCAACCATGATTACAGACACCTGTAATCCTAGCTACTTATAAGGCCAGTACAGGAAATTTACATTGTTGAGTGTGTTCAAAGCTAGCCTGGGCCCTGCTTAGTGAGAGCCCCCCTCAAAAAAAATGATGACAACAAAAACCCAAAACCAAACCAAACCCCCAAAGGGATGTGAGTACAGCTCAGCCAGGTGCTTGACTGACAAGTGTCACAATCTCTGGTACCACAAAAATAAGCAAAAACAATAAAATAAAGCACTCACAAAACTAGGCACAATGAAGTCATACTTTCTAATTACAACATGTCAAAGTCAACTTGCTACATGCTAAATTGACTCAAATTTCTATCTTGTTTGTACTAAGCCAGAAATAATTTTTTGTGTCTACAAAATCTATCCAAATATTGTGACTAGTGAAAAAGAGTAACTAACTTGGTGTCTATATCAAAATTATTAGAAAAAAAATCACACAGTATTGTGAAATAATTTAAAATTAGAGTCAAATAAATGCAAAACTTCTAGCTCTTATAGGAGCTAGGAAGTTAGATTTAAAAATCTGACTGATTTTTTAAAAAAAATGTTTTCTTTTAAAAAGTGAGACAAAAATTAAAAGTTAAGCCCTGAACTTTTCTGAGTTTGTGTGATTACATAACCAGAAATATCTACTGACAATCAAAGTACCTTCTTGTGGTTTTAATAAAGCATAATTACTCTTCAAAGTAAATTGTTTTAAAGTGAGAACACTTTTAATCCTGGGGCTCAGGAGACAGAGGCAGTCGATCTCTGAGGCCAGCCTGGTCTACAAAGTGAGTTCCAGGACAACCAGGGCTAAACAGAGAAACCATGTCTTGAAACACTAATAACAAACAATCAAACAAACAAACAAACAAACAAAAACACAGAAAGACTACTTAAATATAAGAAGAACTTTTTTGTAGATTATGTTCAAATACAATGCCAATTATTTATGTCTTAAAATGCAACAATAGCATCTTTCTAAAAAAGAGCAAAGGTAGAAAAGAAAAACAATATTTTCGAGCCAAAAAGTTCCTTTATACCCAAATCTGCCAAACTGTACTCCAAAAGAAAAGCAAAATGAATATTACTCATTGTTCTTTATGAAACATGATCAGTCTTTCAATTCCCAAGCATAACTCATGACTGATCATTAAGTTAGAATCATAGAGACCTTAGAAGTAACTGTGTGACAGTCCTTCCTGTGTTCCACATGCTGATTCCTTAGCTGAAGTGGGAGGTGGAAGGAGTCACGGACAGTCTGCTAAAGCATATAGAGTGAAGCAGATGGACAAACAGAACTGTCAAGGTCACTGAGGTCAACAGAACTCAATGGTAAACGCATCCAGACATGAGGGAGAGGTTGGCCAGCATTCTTACGAACACACTACAAGCCAATGGCTGAGTGCTGACAGGTTGGATGGTGTCCGAAGCACTCCCGGGGCTAGGTCTGGTATTTTATACACTGAAATGTGAAGATATCATGTCTACATTTACAGGGGCAAGGACAGAACTAGGTTTCCCTGACACCAAGGATCTATAATTAGAACCAAACTCTTTAATGCTTACACATGAGCTTCTCAAAAATAAAATGCACACCCCGTTCCAGGATGGTAAAGAGTATGTTTCATGCCATGTGCTTATTCTCAACCTGTCCTTCCTTGAGAAAGCTGGGAATGAAGACTCTGCCTGCACGGTCCTAATTATCTTACATTTTATTTTATTTTTTTCTTAATTGGGAAACCATTATTCCTCTCCTCTAAGAGGTGAGAAATCCCTCTATCCCAATTTCTGGTACTCTGGAAAGTTTCTTCCTATAAACAGAGATGAAATCATTGTTGTAGAATTCCAGATTTCTTGGCAGAAAGCTCTTCCTGCCCGCTCCTGAGGCACATAGTGGGCAGATGAAGGGAGAACAGAATGCCCAGCACACTACCTCAGAGGCAAGTGGACACTCATGAACTGGCCAAGGCAGACTGTGGAAAGGAGAGAGGACTCGTGTAATGGTAGTCCAGGGACAGGCGAATATGATCATACTACAATTTGAAAATTCAGGGAAAATATTATGATATTTTTTGTAGCCAAGAACAAGATATGCTCTTGACAGATTAGAAAAAAATAGTAACAGAGCTATTGTATTACAATGTTGCTTAGCTTCTTGACCCAGTCTCCCTAGTGTTTATTCTCACGTGTGCCAACAGTCTGATTAAGGTAAGAAGCACATGCCGTGGTTATAAGTGTGTCCTTGGCGGGAAGTGGACCTTGTTCTGATTTCAGCTCTATGAACTAGTTTTGCATGGACATTAGCAGCAAGTTACTTAACTTCCCAAATTGTCAGTTGCATCATTGACAGAATAGGGATAATCCGATACTAATGTGGCATTTAAGACTGAATAAAATGTATGTAGAAAGTGCTTAGCATGGGGCCATACACACAGGTGGTGCCTGGCCCATGACTACTTTCTCTACCTACTGTTCCCTTCTCCATTAAGATAAGATTGCTGGTAAGGTAAGCTGCTTGCTTACACAGCAGACCTTAATGTACTGGTTTCCACAGCCAGGCAGCTAGACAGCTTGGGTTATAAGCCAGGTCTTGACTAGCTGTGTGAACTAAAACCAAGACAGGATGGAGTGGTTGTGGTGGCAGAAGTCTTTAGTCGGGAGGCAGAGGCAGGGGTATCTGAGTTCAAGGCCAGCCTTGCTTATATAGTGAGCCCAGGTTAGCATCAGCTTACAAACTAACAATAAAGGCGAAGGCTATGAAGGTAACCCAATATCTTCAGCACCTCAGACAAATTAGCCCGAACAGTACCCTTGAGTGGGCAATTTCTCTTGGACGTTAGAATTTTCAAGAAGTGGTTCATTATAAGATTTCTTTAGCTTAAACTGAGTACAGCCTCAGCCAAAGCTTCCTCAAAAGAACTTGCTCAGCTTTAATAATTGGGACAGGAGCAGATTTGCCCAAGTCAGACACCACTTTCCCTATAATTATGTGGCCCAGTTTAGATGTCTTACTAGCTTCCTGGAATCACACCTGTGGTAAATATCAGGGAAACGAACCTGGGAAGCCCAAGTGCCCAGGAAAGCGGGTGGCAGCTGAAGGCACGCAGTTCACTTGTCCAGAGTACTGATTGTTTTTTTACTTACAAACAATTCCTGACCAGTTATGTCTAAGCCAGCCCCAGTCTACTGAGAGTGGCATTGAAAGATATTAAACAGTAACGGAGATTTAGTGGAGATTAAGGGAATTGTTACTTTTAGCCACTTCTCTAAATCCAGAACAGGAAGAGACAGGATGTGAGATGTAGGTACAAACATGTCTGGGTTAGTCACCTACAAAAAAACCTGTTATTTATCTCTTCGTATGACCCACTAGCACTTTCTAAAAGTTTCTGGGTTAAAAATCGTTCATAGATAAAATATCAAGGATCAAGAACCTCAGGTTATTACCTCACCCCCAACACATCTTCTACCGAGGTAGAAATCTGCTGAGCCGCAGAACAAAGAGGGTACCCCTTCAAAGGGATTCCGGACAGGTGGTGACTGAAACACCAGATTACCTTCTTATGCCTATGGGTCCACGTGGGAACAAGGACATTTTAGAGCTGAGCTCCTTTTGTAATAGCTTAGCAAGAGTTTTCATGAGCCATGGCTCCATAAACAAGATCTAGAGGAGGTAAACGTGGCTTATGCATTTTCTAATGACTAAAACTGAAGCATG